CCCTCTCGATTTGTGTGGCTGTTGGCTATTTTTAAATGCTTGTATTTGTAGTTCTTGTGTTTCCCTTCCCCCCTTGGGTTTGTGCGCTGCCCTGAGTCCCGCCGGGAATAGGGCGGCATATAAATTAAACGAAACCTGAAACCTGAAACCTGATCATGATCCCCTAGCACAGTGGTTCCCAAACTTGGCAACTTTAAGGCTTGTGGACTTCAACTCCCAGAATTCTGCTGGCTGGAGAATTCTGGGAGTTGAAGTCCACAAGTCTTAAAGTTGCCAAGTTTGGGAACCACTATGCTAGGGGATCTCTTGCTTGCCCAGGTGCTTCCTCGTCTGAGATTTGTCTGCTGTTGTTCAGAGCAGTTTTCCTCAGCCAGTATACTCCAGATGTGGAACAGCCCACATAAAAAGGCTGCCACATTCTTCAAGGTCCAGTGGGAAGCGTGGTTGAGATTTTACTCTTCTGGGTGTTTTAATAGCTTAAGTTTTAGAAATGATACCTGCTTGGGTTGTATATTTCACTAATATGAATTGGGTGGACTCTCCAATACTTTCTGCCCATCCTTTACAACAGAGGGGGGTCTATTCTAGCCCCCTTGGTTAAACAATGATATTGCCTTTTCTGCTGCAGCACCTTCCTTTAGAATAATATCCTTCTAAAACAGTGTTTCCCACCTTAGCCATTTCAGGATATATGGGCTTTTCATGTCTTCAATTGTGGGAGTTCACACGTCTCAAAATAGCTAAGGTTAGGAAACGCTGCTCTAGAGATTTGTATCACTTTTACTCTGCTTTATGTTCAAAAAGTCCCTGAAAACCTGGCTGTTGCCTCAAGCCTTGACCCTATTTGTTTAAAGGATTATCTTTTCAGATATATTTAATGGGTGTTTCGTATTATTTTTATTATGTTTTAATGCTGTAATCTGCCCAGAGTCTTGTAGAATTTGGTGGCCTTCCACATCTATTGAATAAATAACAAATTAGAGAAATAATTGTTATCATTGTCAAATCGGATAACTTGAATCCCATGCCTACAGTTTCCCGAAATGCTTTTTGAAGAAGACACCGAACTGTGTGCTGATCTGTGCCTGCGTCTCCTGCGCCACTGTAGTAGCCGAGTAGCCATCATTCGCACCCATGCCAGCACCTCCCTCTACCTTCTCATGAGGCAGAACTTCGAGATTGGCAACGTAAGTGATGTTGGGAAAAGGGGTGTGTGTGTGTGTGGGAGCATTAAGGGATAGGACAGTTCCTCCATAGCAATAGCAATAGCAGTTAGACTTATATACCGCTTCATAGGGCTTTCAGCCCTCTCTAAGCGGTTTACAGAGTCAGCATATTGCC